TCACTATGGATTATTATAGAACGTTTTTTTCTCCCATAACACCCAGTTTAGTCGAGAACATTCTTTCTTGCAATTTATAAGGTCAAGGCTATGTCCTCAAATTAATGTTTTTCTCTTGAGATATTTTTAATATTCTCTTGGTGAAATGTTTTAGTAAAATTGTCATCTTTTCATATGACCAAGTCATTTAAGTTACCATAGTTATAATTACTGCATACGCATAATCAATACATTCTAAAAAAAATATGATATTCATTAATTGCAAAGCGAAACATATGAATGTGAGACAACACAATCAGTTCTATATTTACCGTGGAAAGTGCAGTATTACTTGAACATCATCATTCGCTTTACGAGTTATGAGCTCATTTTTTGGCTTTGGGGCTTCTTGGTCATTTATCTTATTTTGTGAAATATTTTTATCACTCGATAATTTGTTTTCTTAGCAAAAATTTAAAACAGTATCTAATTACTGAAATATATGGATACTTTTGCCATTCAACGTCCGCAGATTGATGATAGAATTTAAGTGTACACAGGAAACATTATTTCAAATAAATGAGACTCTCTTGTCTATTGAAGTGCCAGCCTCGAATGACTGGCATTTAGTTTTATTTCAGAAGATTGTGAGTGATAGTATAACCTCTCTAACTTCTATGCGAAAACTCCAAGCATGCCAATATTATGCAAGGATAAACATATTCTGAAAATATGTCTAATAGCCTCGCAAAATCATAGTACGGTAGTTTAGAAGCATTGATTAGTGTTCTGAGGTAAAATCGGATCAAGTCCTTCAATTCTATCATAGCCAAGAGACTAGAGTTGCCCTGTTGTTGACTTAGGCCTTCATCACCGTATAGGTGCCCAATGATTTTTTTCCAGAATCAGCTGTAATTCCCCCACCTCTCTTCCTCTTTTGGCAGCCTCTCGAAAGGATTTCGGCTGTACAGTATTTTAAGTGCTCTCATGCAGCGAATTCACGATACATTCACTCCCTCATAGGATAAGCTCTCTAAATTTTATACGATAACTCAGATCATGCCAATGGTTATGCAAGATAAAATAATACTTTTGGTAGAAAGTATGTCTAACTAATAATCTCTCAAAATCAGAGTACGAATGCTTAGAAGCACTGATTGGTGCTCTGAGGTAAAATCAGATCAAGCCCTTAAATTCTACTTCCTCCAGCTCTCTTCCTCTTTTGGCCTCTTTCTATCGAAAGGGCTCCTCTACAGTTATTTACGTGCTTTCATGCAGCGAATACATGATACATTTACAAACATCCAGGCCTTCTATAGAGTTTGAATCCGAGTATAAGTCTATGACATCCGGCTATGCTGTCACCTTGCCAACAAGGTGCCAGCCAGATTTGATACCGTGTATGTTGCGATGATGAATAATTAGCCACGGATACTTCATAATAAAATTAGAAAGGTATTTCATAAAGAGCATAAATGTAAAGTTTCTGTGCGGATATTTAACAAATTATATTTTAATACAAATTTACTGCTGAATTTTAATACTATTAATTCATGCAAAAATAAATGAAATAAGAGTGATAATGTGCTATAAATGTCTATTTTTTTTCCGAGTTAAAACTTTGAAAACATGTACTAAGAGCAACGTTGTTATTTTTTTAAATGTTTCAATATAGACTGCTGTCTTAATAAAGATATAAAGACGTTGTTTATTTAAAAAAAAACGAATGAAATTTTTCGATTATGAATAATTAAGCCGCATATTAATTATGCTTCTTTTTTTCCTTTTGTTGTTCATTTATTAAATTTTGTTCTTAGTTTATTATTGCTACAGTGAGCCTATTTGTAAATAACTGTTAAAAAGTATGTTATGGAATACATTAAGATCTTTGCAGTATTTTAATGCCAAAATCATGTGTAGTTCAAACTTTTCTTCAGACGATTCATGTTACATTCATGTTACATTCATTATGTAACAACAGACTTTATCATCCACCATCCTGAGAGACTATCATTCGCTCACCTATTGCCAACTTTACAAAAGAAAACCTTTGATTTAATTTTTTCTGTACGTTGCCAATTCTAGGGCTAATACTGATCTTGAGGGTAAAGCGTTTCATTTCACCTTTTAGATTACAATAACAGATTCGTATAGTATGATATTTCAGTAATTTGAAAATCACCTATTCCTCGTAACTTTTAGCTTTATTTCATGTTTTAAGATATCTATAAGATGTGTTTTTTATCTGGAAAAGTGATCATTTTGACGGTAGGAAAGGTTGTAATTTTGTCTCTCTGTTTCCCATTATGTTTCATTCTGTAACAAGATCTTATATTACGTTATTCTACCAAGTAATTTATCTTTCTCCATTACCATTTCATAAGATCTATAATTTATTTTTCAAATTAAAATTAATAGAAACAAAACGAGAAGAAAAATATATTTAGCGCTTTATACAAAATACACGGACAAATGATTTGCAGTGATTTTGATAATGATTTGCAATAGAAAAGGAAAGCTTCATCGTAAATATTCGCATACACACACACTTTAGAAAAGCACACGTTTTTAAGTGTAGCTATCCAGAAACTAGTTGATACCTCCACTATGATTTATCCTCTGCCACCCCAGTGTCTCGCTTTGCATAGCTGATTATTTCATGATTTAGCTGCTTACAGATATCATGATTTCTTATAGCTGTTGCATCAGAGCGCTCTGTCTATGTTAGTAGATACACATGGTTACTCTTTAAAGCTTTTGGAATCCTGTTATGTAGACTACAGGGTGACAAAAGGCTAAGCGGGAATCCTCCTAATCCTACTGACCTATTTTGCTAGTGATAGGTTAGTTCACTTAAATTTTGGTTCCATCTTTCTCTCTGCTTGTTATTATTGTACACAGCTAGTTTATACTATGACCAAATCATGCTTCTTTGCGCACGAAATTTCTCTCTCTTCTAATTGTTTGCATATAAAATCTAAGACTGACTGAAAATTAACTGAGAGATTGAGAAAATGTGGTTTCAAATTCAAAAGCCGATTTGGGCCTATTAGCCCATTTTTGAATAATCCTTTGACACACTGTGCCTCCTTCCTGTTTTATTTGATTATATTTCTTATGTTGTCGTTAGGAACGTCCATTGAGTTTATGTTACATTATGCATTAGGCTATTTCCTTTCATTTCCATCAATGGTCGGGCAACTGATCCACCGCGGCAATTAGTATATTGGGCAGCCCTCTGACGGTATGAATTTTGTTACACAAGTTCATGGATTTCAGGCTCCTTATGCCCATGCTTGCTGGGTATACTGTTCTGTTTCAGTCCTTTTCAAAAGTCCGCAAAACACTTTGGTGTGTTTTGTGCAAGATGAATGCTGATGATTGCAAAAACGTGAGCTGGACGAGTCAGTGTTTCAGGAGACGTTACATTACTACTTATACGTCGTCCATGGCCTTTCGGAGGTGACTTCACGAAATATAAAATCTTTATTTTGCACATTTACTTGCACACACGCAGTTCTCAACGTTGTCGTTCAGCAAAATATAAGATTTTAAATTCATTTCATATTTAATGATTTTTTAACTATGCTATTTAAAAGCAATAAACCTTAACAAGCTCATAGTTCACCTTTAGCTGATTTTTAAGTTATTTCATAAGAATAAATAGTAAATTAAACTTTAATAATTCTCTTGCGCCACTATTTAATATGTAATTATGTATCCAAATAACGTTTTTTATGAACATTTGCAACATTGTTTCTGATGCCATGGATTTCGTGTTTTGTATTAAGTCATTTGATTTCCTCATAAAAATTAAAACAGTACATTGCTTATTTGAGTATTTAAAAGCATTATAATTTCATCCTTCACAAAAGGCTTGTAAATAGTGTTTTTTACTGATATCTCTATCTTGTGTAATTTACATTAGAAATAATTCACATACTTGCAATATTTCTAAAAGATCATTATTGTGAATATTTACACTATAAATGTAAATCCTAAAATGTGTTTCCTATACATTCTTACAATGATGGCATTCAAAAATTTTTAGAATCGGTTTGCTTCTTTATAAATTATTAAATTAGATACTATATAGCAATAAATTGCCTAATTAAATATATTAATTCAGTTTTAATAACTTATAAGGTATTTTCTCCCTCTTTCCAGCACGCTCTCTTGATGTAACGATATCACACGCAACGCATATTCGAGAGGTCCAGGTTCGAGTCCAGCGAGGGCATTGCAAATTTTTCACGTTCCTGCTTCATAAAAATAACTTAATGACTCCATAAATACTCCCCGAACTGAAAGGTGGTATACAATAATTCGTTCATCAAAGTGAGTCTTCTAATTTCAGTCGCTCTTTAAAAAGTATTTACTCGCCCTTTAATAGGTATAAAAGGTATTTTATCCTCTTAAACAACGCCAGATGGACAAGCATCCAGCATGCCTTCGTAGTGTAACGGTAGCACGCAGCGTGTATTCAAGAGGTCCAAATTCGAGTCCTGGCGAGGGCACTGCACATTTTTTACATCTCCTGCTTCAAGATAATCTAACGATTCTACAAACTGTTGCCACGAAACGAGAGTACACTTGAAAACGCTTATACCAACCCACTGAAAACCGGCTCTATTTCCGTATTGCTAACGTGAATGTTATTGCATGCACATTTCATTCCATTATGTGATTATTATGGCATCAAGGTAATAACTAACTCGCATTATACGAAGAGAGGTAAAAAAATAATTAATATGTTACTGAATTCATAGGAAGTTGTATAAGACATGACATGGGAATATACTCTGTAAGGGAAAAGAATTTGTTTGAAAAGTTGAAATTGAAAATGCTTTGAAAAGTTACATAAATAATGCAATATATTTTAAGACATAGCACATTAGCTAATTTGCTTTCTTATTTTAACCATTTTGATTAATACAGATTCGAATTCATTACTACAATATATCAGAAGCTCTTCAATCATTATATCCAAGAAAAGAGATATTAGTTTTGCACCTCAAGAACCATTCACTTTTGGTTATTTCCATAAATTAATTTATGGTTCAGGTCCATTTTCACGTGTAGCTACTTCTCATTCTTTGCCGTGCCCGATTCTATTAGTTGGTGGCTTTAACTGGTGCTACGAAGCATTAATTTTAAAATACTATGCTCCACCTGTTGTTGTTTCTCCACCTGTTATTGTTTCTCCATCCGTTGTTGCTTGTCCATCTGTTGTTGTTTCTACATCTGTTGTAGTTTCTCCATCTGTTGTTGTTTCTCCCTCTGTTGTTGCTTCTTCATCTGTTGTTGTTTCCCCATCTGTTGTTGATTCTCCATCTGTTGTTGCTTGTCCATCTGTTGTTGCTTGTCCATCTGTTGTTGCTTGTCCATCTGGTTTAGTTTCTCCATCTGTTGTTGTTTCTCCCTCTGTTGTTGATTCTCCATCTGTTGTTGCTTGTCCATCTGTTGTTGCTTGTCCATCTGGTTTAGTTTCTCCATCTGTTGTTGTTTCTCCCTCTGTTGTTGCTTGTCCATCTGTTGTTGCTTGTCCATCTGTTGTTGCTTGTCCATCTGTTGTTGCTTGTCCATCTGGTTTAGTTTCTCCATCTGTTGTTGTTTCTCCCTCTGTTGTTGCTTCTTCATCTGTTGTTGTTTCCCCATCTGTTGTTGTTTCTCCATCTGTTGTTGATTCTCCATCTGTTGTTGATTCTCCATCTGTTGTTGTTTCTCCATCTGTTGTTGGTATTTCGGTAGTGCTTGTTCCCGTCGGAGGTGCTGTTGTTTCTGGACTGGTGGTGGAAGGTGTTGCCTGACATGTAAATGTTAATCGAAATCTGGGTGGCTAAAAGAAAAGTATACTTTTCTTAAACATAGATGTAAATCTACAAACGTTACAGGTAAAGGTACAGGTAAAAGTATGGGGTATACCAGCCATATACCACAGGTCAATGGTTAAGCCCTTCCTATACTAAATATCTCTAAAACAATTCATATTTGTAAATCTTATAAGAGCTCACAGTGAAACGGTTGCGTTCTGCCTAGGAGATGAGCATCTGAAGCTTCCCAAAGAACCTAGAGTTTACTTATTATAGATTCAGAGCAATCCGATCATACATCCGGCATCTAGCATTTATTCAAAATCATGATTTAGAACATAATGGAATTATAATGCAATTTGAGATTCACAAATAAAGCTGAAATCATCGCTTTTGATGTTACAAAAAATGAAGATAATACAATAGCAGAAAATAGTGAGATTTTTTAGATGCGCACTTCCAGTTGCAACGTTCCTCAAGTTGATAACTTTATAAAAGCAATTTAAACTGAGAGTGTAAAGCAGTTTAATAAACAAAAAATTAGTTTTGTATACTCTCAAAACAAAAACATGTTTAGTTAATAAAATGTTGAACATGTTGTATGAAGTTAAATCATTAAGTAAGTCAAGTGCTATTATGTGCAAAATTGAGGAAGATGTGACTAGTTATTAAAACACCCTTTTGAATAAAAAAAAAAGCGCCAAGAAGAAAGTGATTGTTTTGATTGAAATTAAATATGTGAACAGCTCATGCACAGGTAATAAACGTCTTACAAATTCAAGGCCATTAGACTCTGTAATGACTATGAATTGCCTCACTGAATGTTCAAATCCGTAATTGGTGAGACCGTCTATGACGGCGGTGCATGCTGCATGTACACGTTGAGGTAAGGAGTGATATAGTTTCCTAATCTCATCCTGCAATACATTCTGCCAGGCATTTCTCAGTTCTTGCTCCAGATCTGCGAAATTTTCGAATGTGCGAATCTCACAGCATACCAATCCACATATGTTCAATTGGCGAAAGGTCTGGTCATCTTGTTGGCCGAGGAAGAGTATCAACAATTGTTAGAAAGTATAGAGATACGTGAGACATATGGAATCTAGCATTATCCTTTTGGAAATTGACTTCAGGATGGTGTGCCATGAAGGGAACGCAAACGGCCGCAGGTTGTCATCAATTATCATTCAGTTTTTTCATCAATTATCATTCAGTTTATGCAGGATAACTAGAGTCGACCTGCTGTCGTACAAGATAGCACCCCACACCATCATACCAGGGTTAATGGCTGTGTGCCTCTGTAAAACGAAAGCAGATTTAGATCGCTGGCCCCGACCCCTTCACACATAGATCTGATGGTCATGTGCTGCAAGATTGAAGCGGGACTCACCGCTGACAACTATGCGATGCCAATCATCTGGTAGTCAACTTCAGGTCCTAGGAACAAAAGATTGATGGAAATAAAATCACATAACTATCTTTTTCGAACACGTTGTTTGTATTAGAAGACTTCTTCGATGGTGAAGAAAGTATAGTATTTTTGTAATTTTATTGAATGTGATATTAATTAACCTGAAAGCTTCCATGTTAACAAGAATTCATTTTAGGTCTTTAGATTTAAATACGATAAATTTTGAACTTATACGTACAGGGCAAACTCACCTACTTCATAGTATATTTGATTTCAATATAACAGTTACTCTATTCATAATACAAGACATATCAAGCATATCAAAGCATCTAAGCCCGATCTAAAACATTAGCATTTTATGAACTGAAATTATATCGATTAATGATAAACGAATTAAATATGTTTTACACTCAATCTAAAATTATCTTTAATTGCATGAAATCACGAGAATTATCTTTACATTCATGAAATCACGCTTTCAGGACATTTAGATCTCTAACAGAAGGATGTCGCCATGTAACTGCTTTTTCAAGAGATTTCTATAAATCCTCTGTCGGTTTAAGATCAAGAGATATTGCTGTCCACGGTATTCGCTCATTGTCTTCTTTCAAGGAATTTGTGAACGAGGATTTCTAAACGTTTTATTAATAGGCGAACATTATCGTCCATAAACAAAATGTCAGATACGTATGCACGTCTTAAATGTGTTACATAACGTTCTAAGATCTCATTTTGATATCTCTAGCTGGTCACAGATCTTCTGATAAAAACGCGTAGGTACGGTAAACGTATGTCCGGTGATCATTATTCCTCTCCATGCCATCACACCTACACTATTGAAACGGTAACATTCCATACTGTTAGAAAGAGTATTTTGCTTTCCTAACTCTCTGCAGAGGCAAAAATGTTTATTATCAGGTGTTAAACTAAACCTCTACTATCAGTAAATATAACATGAGACCATTGGTGTTGATTCCAGTTCTGATGTTCTTTGCACCAATTAAAGTGATTCCCTTTTTGTTGGGAAGACAGCGAAAAATGTCTTAAGGTATTGTCTGGCATTAAGGCAACTTTTCTTCTGAGTACAGTTTGCTGTTATACAATAGTTTCAGCGACGGCTTCAAGCTCTGACCGTAATTGTCTAGCAGTAGACTTCCTGTCATGACGAGCTGTTATTGCCAGTTATCGATCATGAGAGGCAGCTGTTATTAGTTTACGATTTCAGGTAGGCATCTTTACAACAGTCCAGAGTTTTGAAATAGTTTCCATCGCACAGAGATTGTCTGTCTTGAAATATTCAAACATATCACTGTTTCCACAACTGTGTGCCCTATTTGTAAACAACCGATGATTCACCACTTCACAGATTCTTCTAATTGATACTTTGGAGGCATATTAAATCGTTTTGAGTCCTCATACAATGAAACCAAACGCTGTGTTGCAGAAATTCACTCAGATACTGGCATTGGCAGTGTTTGATTAATCGTCAAAGGGCGTAACGCTTTGATTTGGATATCAGAAATCGTATGATTACTTTTAAATGGATAATGATAATTAATAATGTTTCATACATTCCCTGAAAACGTGGATTACACTGATTGGATATTTTATGAAATATAATCCCTTTGTGTATATATATATAAAGATAAATTTGGACATTAGTGTGCTAATGCAATTAATTTAAGAACTGTATTGCGTAATTTAAATAAAATCTAAAATAAACGGTAAAGTATCGAATCAAAGTGAAATATCTGGTATTCCAAACCATATTTTGCTAAAGCATTTCATTCATTGCAGTGCCTCAAATATTTTAGGTATATAACAAAAAATAACATCGCGGGTTAGTGCGAAGGTAAACTATTTTTCCTCTGAAGAGCTGTCTGCATAAATTGCTTCACAGAATATTATGTCATAACGGAACCAGATTCAAGATATATATGGATACCAGCTTAAAAGCATTTTTAGTAATGATGAAGATGAAAGTAGTCTTTTTTTTATCTCCTCAACTTCAAAATGCCTAGCATCAGAAGACTTCCAGTGTCTTCCTCAAAATCACGTCAATATTTTATGCTGAAAAGATATCGATGAAACGGAAAGCGATAACTCTGGTCATAAGAATATTATTAAAATCAAGATATTTCAAAATTTTACAATGTATAGCGAACACAAATGCTCCGGTGATTGCGGATATATTTGCGAAATGACTCAAAAATGTCAAGGTAATTAAAAGTTAAAAACAATTTTATAAACACAATTTAATTTTTTATTGTATAAAATTTAATTTTTTGCGATTTAAAAAATGAAATATTTTAACCTATTCTAAAATATCTGTAATATTTAAACACATTTAAAATATGATGATTAAAATCTAATGATGTGTAATGATGGCACAATGAAAAGACTGTGTAAAACAATTAAAAATTTTGTAAAGCAACATAAAAGCATGGTTTCCTTAATAAAAATTTTGCTTGTATATCATTGTTATTTATATATCCTTCCTGAATGGCTCATTAAAATATGTACAAACCGTGCTTTACTGTTAGTTCCTGTTTTAATACATTCATTCTCAAATGCATAGTAGAGTTCACTGGGTCACAAAGCATTCTTTTGATAAAATGCAGTTAAAATAAAAAAATCAGATGCTCAAAATGTTAATATATTTCAAGTGTACTATTCAAATCAATAAACAGCAACTAAAAAATTTCAAAAGTATAATCTAACCATGCAACTAAAACTGTCAAAAAAAGTCTAAAATCATAATTGGATATAAAAATATGAAATGAAGTAAAAATATGTGCAAAAAACATATTTTTTCTGTCGTAAAAAATCAAAATGAAAGTGAATTAAGTAGCCATAAGCTGAGAAGTTTGTCAAATGAATCATTCTTGGCATAATAAAATTTCCAGCAAGGTAAATTCTCGAACTGCACCTTAAATTGCTAACCAAAATTTTTAAAATTTGATATTCGGGCATAATTTGAATCTTAGAATCGAAATATAAAACAAAGACCGGAATATCATTACAGAAAAAGTCAATTTTTGAGCTAAAATATGCATCTTAGAACAACGCATATATAAATCTAGTCATACTATAAAATAGTCACACTATAACTAAGATGATGTTGAATTACAGCATTCAGGTGTAGTAAAGTATCAGTGAATGTTTTTAGCCCGAAGGAGCATTAACCCAGAAAGGCTATTTGTCTTGAAACGCATTTTGTGTTGAATCGCTTAAATGCTCATTAAAATATGTACAAACTTATACATCATAAGTCTGTATAATGCGATTTATCTGCAGTGTATAATGTCTTATATTACCTTTCAGATTGTGGCCAACAAATATTATCGCCTTTAAAGTTGGCATTAAAGTTGCATCACCATGAAGGTAAGCAAATACAATAAAAGATATTTATTTCGCGTTTACAGTATGGCATGAAGACAAAATGATCAAATTTGTGAGTAATCTGAGGGTTTACAGGGTTGCGCAATTAGTAGGAATGTCTGCCAGTCCTGGCAGCTTAAACGGCCCTTACCCGGTTAGACATGGAGTCGAAATGGGCTTGGATAACAGAAACGGGCAACTCATTCCATCTTGCCCATTCCAAGTCTATATCACACTTCGTTGACCGTATTATCTGAAGAGGGGTGGCAGGCCAGTCTCGCAGCAACCCATGACCAAGTGTTTTCAATGGGTGACAGTTCTGGAGACCATGCAGGCTAGGGCAGCATTCGAATACCCTGTATATGTATACAGGAAGGTCAGAGCACGAGGTGCATCATGTGGCCTTGCATTATCTTGTTGAAAGATGGCGTTTGGCAAACCTTGAAGATAGGGCACAACTACTGGACGTATGATGTCAGAAATGTACTGACCTGCGTTCACAATCCGAAATAGAGATGTGCGTGTTGTGTACCCAATGTAACCGTCACACCATCTGCAGCACCCCTGTGCCGATATCGAATGCGCGGTCTCCTTGGAGCCTCCAGACACATACGGCCAACAAAATACCGCACACTGAACTGGGATTCGTCTAAAAAGACGACATTGGGCAACTCCTGTATCCAGTTTTGCCATTCGAGGCACCAGAGCCGCCGTTTGTCTCTTTGCTGTATTGTCAAGGGAAGCCGAAGTAATGGTAACCGTGCTGATAGTCCACACGGCTGCAAACTTCAACGCATCGTACAAGAGGATACTGGGTGTGCTGCAAACATGTGCATTTCCTGACTAATAGTCCGGGATACAGTTGTACGGTTTTGCAGGGCTCGCTTTACAATATGCCTCTCCTTTCGGGCGCTAGTCACGGGAGGGCGTTTACATCCTGCATGCCGTTCAGTATGAACCTCAGAAACCAATTGATTCCATATTTGGATGTCGACTAGTACGACGGGCGATATTATGGAACGATAATACATATTCTCGATAGGCAACGATCCTGCCTCTATCCAATTTCGACACTGGCTGGTAAGCAATTCTTCTTATTATTCGAGGTCTAACATCATATCCTGAGCAACCTCCGACCTTACAAAGCGCTTTCCGAATAAGAAATCCACTACACAAGTTTTCTTTTATGTAATGCTTCAAATGTCTTTTATCCCTCCTGCGTCTTCTAAATACTCTGGCATCCTAATGATTTGCATATCTCAAACTCTTCTTCCTTTTATGTGATTTTGACGTTCGTCATATCATTTCTTACTGTGTTTGCAATTTTATTGGCCAGCACTGTATTTAAAGAAACAAAATAATGAAAAATCTGCGTAAATGTATGTATGTTTCTCGCATTGTGATAAAACAACAGTACCTAGAAACATCACATTTTGAATAACTTAATACTCACCCCGTGCATGGGCACCTTGAAAACCGAATTCAGAATTTCAAATTGTTTTATCATCTGTTTCATATCTTTTAAAGGCCCACCAGCGGCCGAGCGGTAAAGTCGCTGAACACTGGTAGTTCGGTCCGAGGTTCGAATTCCGCGAACGGTCTGGCTGCATGGCTGTTTTCGTGGCTTTCCCCATGTGTAACGTGTATACGAGCCAGTTTCATTAGAAAGTCCTCCACGAAGGCATCCTTCCCTTTAGGCAGATAGCACTAGTGTGCTTTGCCATAATTAAATACACCGCCACACCACATATTTTGTAAAACTGCAACGAATTTTGAATTAAAAATTTCAATAATTTCAAAACGGTCAGTGGCCACAATGTAGGGAATAAAACGTTTTTATCTCCAGCGTGCGAGATTGTCCATTCGAAATTCTAAAATGTTGTTTTTAAATATTTTTAGCCTAGAGGGGCGTTAGCCCAAATGCTCTGGAAACGTCTATTTGTCTGCAAAGGAAAACAATGCCGATTTGGGCGTAATATAAAATTTAAAAGCTTTTCAAGATTTTTTTATATACTTTATTTCTTTTCTGAAATATCCTGTTCTTAATGTCTTCAAAATAAATGTATTGGCTTTTAACCATAGCAGGCTATTATGACCTTTCCTCTGCACATACAAGCTTTAATGTGTTATTAATCTCTTCGCTTCGAGCGTACGATTTATGATACGGCTCAGTCGTCCTCCGTGGACCCACTGTATCAAATGTAATACTGGAGCGAAGTGTCTTTGATGACCATGTAATATTTGATAAACTGAAATGGAACGTTTTATTTCATATTTTAAATACGCTGAAATTCAGACTTCAGAATTCTCCAAAAATTACTGAATAGAATCTAAAGAATGTTTGAATTGTTGTGATGAATATTACTTATGATTTTATTCTAAGAATTTAGAACTCGCGATGCTATAACGCGCCATTCATAACTTAGAAATGCTTCGCGCAGTGCTAGCGGCTCAAACGTTTTGCAGGCAAATATGGCAACAGAATATAATAAGCACTGGTATTTAAATTCTTAAGATTTTTACTTCATGATTATAAAGAGATACTTTAGATTTGGGAATACAATCATTATTACTAAAACTGTAGTTTAATTTATTCTGAATTCTTATTTTAAGTATTATGATTTTCTATTTATATTATAAGAAATAGAATTTGAATAACATATGCAAGAATTCAAATATTTGGAGAAAAAAGCAGATTTTATGTGAATAATTTTCTCATATTAAGCTTAATAAAAGAATACCCTAGACCCACAGTGAGGTTCAGCTCTCCAAAATTACTGGCACACTTTGAAGAGAGGATTTCGTTCACTAGGCGTCGGGAGCGAAGAAATTTAACTGTGTTCTTCTCATTAATGCGGGAGCGGATATTTCAAAACCCACTCGAAAGTTACTTGATTTTTAAAATCTATCGAAGTTGCTTTCCTATTTAATAAATTTATTTTCACTTGGTTTTTTAAGAGATTGGTGTTAGTTTCATTTTTCTGTCATATTTTCCTTTCAGATCTTGCGTATCATGACAGTTATTGAAAAGGCTTTACGTTTTTCATTATTTATTTATTTTTTAAGCTTACGGATATGTCATTATAATAATTTTTTTCCCAACGACATCCCTCTAATTAAATTAGTTCCCGTTTTTAAGGATATTTTAATAGACATACTTTTCCTAGTTAAACCTTTCAGTTCCAATGAGTTTATAGGTTCCAGTAGATGTTTAAAGAAGCCTAGAGAGTATTATACGCATCTATTTATTACGTAGTTGATGTCCCACTGGTAGTAGGCATATTGTCCACTGGAAGTAGGCATTTATAGTTCTAATTTAATGCTAATGGGACACATATGTCCCACCATTACCACCCAGTGGGACATATTTGTCCCAGGCCCGTGGCATCCTCCCATTTTAAAATGTAATGTTTAAAATGATATTTTTTAATTCTTTATGATAACTACCAAGAGTACAGAAAAATCAAGTCACTTGAAAGAAACAAATAAATTAGGTCTGAAATCATTAAAGAACTTTTTGCCGGCCAGTTGTCCATATTCAGTTGGCTCAATTTCATGTGAGAAAATTAAAAGTAAATGACAAATTAGCAGAAAAAATGCAACTGAAAAATCAGCTTAACAATAACCCAAAAAAAATGCATGAAAGAAATTAATTACGAATCCCTAATACAATTAACGTGCAGGGAAGAAAGTCTTATGAAGAAGTCAAATTAAGAAGATTATTATGCTAAGCAATTTAAGTGAATTCTTTCAAATATTGTAAATTATTATCCCTTGTAAAAGTGTATCAATTATTAATTTCAGAAAGGTAACAACAAGCATGTATATTTTCAAACAGTTGTTAATTTAAATATAAAAGTGTACAATTAATAATATTTACAAATTAACTATCTTTATTTTTCTCTTTGAGTGTAATACTACTTTATTTCGTTCAAATCTCACAATTCGTCTGTGTCTGTACTTTTGAATAATAAATTTAATCGTATGATAGAAAATGCATTAACTTCGCTTTGCCTCGGTATTATAGCATTTAGACTGTTTAAAGATTTCCATCTGGAAAAATAACTTTAGCTTATCAAGCTCGCATCTGTAAGATTATATTATACGAAATTCTTTTTGCGTATAATATAACAATTTGATATCTGGATTCTTTTTGCATGGGAAGCAAACTTATTTTATGGCAAAACGGTATTTTTAGTTTAGAAGCTAAATTAAGTTTACTTACAGCTCTACATCCTATATGACATTTTCCTAATGGTTTGGGTACACAAGATAGACCTTCTTGACAAGGACAGAATCCCATGAATTTTCCGCCGAAATACTCCAATTTCGATTCAGGCTCTCTGCACCACATACCTGCAAAGGAAAACAAACTTCAGACTTCATCTTTCTTTTCTTTCTTTTCTCCGCTTGCAGGGCAGCTGGTACGCTTAGGAAAGGTGCTTGTCGGCTTGTTTAAGTCCTATTGACGATTCTAATTATTTCTGATGTCCTTAGGTCATGTTCTTCAAAGTCTGTCCTATCCGCTAATATAAATACAATGAATTATGTTACGGGTGTTAGACATAATCACATATATGTATAAAATCTCTATTAATTAGAGTAACTAGTTCGAATAAATATGTTGATGCAGACATCCCTAATACAAATATAAAGATATTCAGTTTTTGTTACATGCACTAAAAATTTGTACATATGTGTATACACATACACTTTTAAATGTACATATTACGCAAAACCAAAGGGGGGACGGTTCTATATCTTTCGTTCTACTGGGCCGATTGATGAAATCCAACTTGCGGTTCTCATGTCTCGAAAGCAAGGCTTAGGATATGTATTAGCTTTATATATAGCATTGTTCTAATATAAGTATTTTGACAAAAATCGAACTTTTTCTAAAGTGACATGCCATTTTTTTTCCATATTTCGATTCTACGACTTAAATTATGCCAAACTGAGTAGCTCTCTGAATTTTAGCTCCTCAAAGTTAATTGAATTTGGTATATATTTATTGTTCTCTCCTTTTTTATTAAACTTATTTGATTCTTTCTTTCACATTTCGAAATTTACGTTCATTCCAAATTAAATTAGCCCATTTTTTTATTATTTATTTTTAAATATTTTTTAGAAATTTTTCGAAATAAATTTTGAATTATAACATATAAAATTTTTACCATCAGCTTAAGTAGATGTATTTCTAAGCATACCTGCAAAAAATTAGAAATTTTTATTAAAAATTTCCGAAGATAAATGTGAATTTATGTATTGGCGCGTTTTGAAATTTGCCATATTTGTTGAAAGTGATTATACCATCAAAAAGGGTTTCTGCACTTTGTTAAAATTATTTAAAAATGGGAACGATGCGACTTTTCCGCTCATGCAGAGTATAAAAAGGTAGGAACGATATGACATTTTTTCCGCTCCTGCACAATGAAAGGGAAAGGAAATTAGGTTGCTATATATTAATAAGTTCGCCAAGTGAACTATTCTTATAAATTAATATATTTGCCAAGTGAATTATTCTTGTCGTAAACTGAAAAAAAAAAAAAAAAAAAAAAAAAAAAAAAAAAAAAAAAAAAAAAAAAAAAACGCGCCAAGATAAATTTTTGAATTTCTCCGTAAATTTCGCACCAAATTTTACAAAGCTTCATATTTAGACATACTTTGAGTTGTAGAATCAAAATATGGAAGTGCGGGTGATAATGTTGTGCGGGCATTGCTGATACAATTATATAGATATGAATACTGTTACAGATATTAATAGTAATTGCATGTATGTGTAGAATCACTATTAAAATGCATGTTCAAAAAAGTATTTGAAGCAGACACCACCAGTACAAATACACACATACTCAGTTTCAGTTACAGATACGATACATTTTGAGCATAAATACCTTTATTTACAGAAGGATTACTAAAATGCGTAAAGCTGTCCAAACTATTATATTGAATCAGATACTGTAGTAAACTTGTACAGATATTGCGTAATGTAGCATATAATGTGAATGCAGTAAGTGTGTGAAAGTTGGGGAAATATGTATTGATATGAGAACTGTAGTTTCGTAAAAAAAGGCTTACATATAGTTTAGCCACTGAATATTAGAGGAATGCCGACTTATATTTTTTCATGATAGCTATATACTTTGTTACAGTTTCTATATTTAAAAGGCGAATGTTTAGTAAAACCCATGACATTTAAAGTCTGACCTGTTAAATAAACAATACATATATCTTGATAGTAATCGTTTGATTAATATACTATTAGTATTGAAAATTCACTGCTTAAAAATCCCCAGTCAGTTTGCGGACTACATCCATTTATTCTCTCAAAAGTCTTTTTTTTTTATACATGGCTGGAACAACCGAATAACGCAGATGTACGTTTAAAATCAAATTTTTATTAAAACTTAATAAAATACACAGCTCGCATCTTACAAAATCAGTCACCGCTGCTCGCGGGATTTAAGCTAACATAAAAGATTAAAGTAAAATTTAATAAAATAATGTTGGAATCCACAAAACAAAATCCAATAAATTTTTTATCTGAGGCTTTCAAGTACGCGAGTAACACTGCTCGCAAAAGGTTAAAACTGATTTAACCCTTTGCGGCACAGTGTACCTAAGTAGCGAACCTTAAGTTAACCAGACCGGGCTCACCGATAATCTAGGACAACTGGGATTCTGTATTCTTTGTTTCTCTGCATCTCAGCGGTCTGTTTATTGACAACAATACTGGTTTCAGCACTCATTTCGAAGCTCTTTTCAATCAGTGTGCCCACTTTCGGCACACCCACAGAATTAAACGATAAGTGCTATCTTCACAAAATTTTACTTGTGTACTCCTCTAGGCCTAATTAGATTGCCTAGCTTCTTTTTTTTTTTACAAAACTCCAACTTTAAAAGGTAGCGTGCCGGAAAGGGTTAAGCAATTCAAAGAGGTGTGCGAGAAATAGGGCGGAATTCAACAGCGCTGCCAAAAGCTCACTCCTCAACTTCACGAAATCTTTTCTTTTATACATGTTAACTAAATTGCATCCTGGTGAGAGATGACGAAAGTAGAAGTAGTAATAAACGTAAAAATAATTAAGATAATGAATTAATAAACATAAAACGGTACATATGAACGTAATCGAGAGTTTATAGTTTTAACTAAAGAAGCTCTCTCACTGCCGCCGCAAAATGTATTGGAAGTGGATAATGTGCATTTGAGAACATCATAATAAAAAGCCTAAGATACCTGTCTTCACGTCGACAAATCTCTAAGTTAATTTCAAAATTTAAATTGACCGAGATTATCATGACTGAGTTTCGTGGCTGTGGAAATTACGATGCCATATCAAGTCAACAACAGAAACAACTATTATGCCGTAAAATTAGGCACGTTAAACCTTTCGTTTAACGTGTATTTTTACTAAGACTCTGTGGACTACGAGAGAGAATAGATGCGGGTTCCTCAACATCAAAGGAACAGAAATTCTGTAAAGAAGGGAGTTGTATTTACACCAAAATGAAAAATGTAAAACGAATGAAGGTAGAGCCATCTGACAAAAGAAATAGTACGAAATGCGAACAATTATAATAGCATTTTAAAATCATTAAGAATATCTGGATTGGATCTAAAGTCAGTAACTAAACAGGGTAAATATTTGTGAGTGTGAAAGGCTTCATGGAAATCTAGTTCACCAAATGAAGAAACTTTTTGGATATGTTTTGCAGACCCAATGTCAAAACTGTGATTGAATTTCCAACTATGATTAGCTATCTGAGACTCGTTTGTTACTTTTTTCCCACATAATAAGATTCGTACACCTTGATGCGAAATTTTTATGTTCTTTTAGTTTTGCTGATACACCTCAAATCGCATTGACACAATATGCTATCAATTCCCCAATTAAAGTCAGGAATTTGATTTTTAATATCCACTGATGGGTGAGAAAATGACTTGAGAGTTGAACATCTGGAGAATCCGTGCAATTTCGTATTTGATAGAAGGACAAGATATGCTATAAATTTCCCCAATTAAATTCAGAAATTAAACCTTTAAGAATCGAACAATGGACTTTATTGATATACGTGAGAAAATGTCTTGAGAGTTGAACTTCTGTAGAATCCGCGCAATTTTATCCTTCAGAGAAGGATAAAATGGGAGGACGACAAGGTAATTAATGTTACTCCTAAAGAAGACGTTTCGCTGTTATAATGATGGCAAGATGAAAATCGTTTGATATCTTCGTAAAAAATACACCAAACAGAAGACTACTGCTTTGGCTAATTTTATGTTTTACTACGGCACGTTTCTCTTCTCTCCAAAATAATTATGCCAGCGTACGCTTTATTTTTAGGCTAGATTTATTTGATTAGCAAAGCGCGCTAAGGCTGTCTGCCTAAAGTAAGGGATGCCTTCGTGACGGATTTTCTAAGGGAAGCTGGCTCGTATATACGTTACACATGGGGAAAACGATTAAAACGCCCATGCAGCTAGCCCCTTCATCGGGATTAGAAGCTTAAACCGAACTACCAGCTTCAGCGACTTTATCGCTCGGCCGCTGGTGGGCTTTGATTTTAGGAAACTCTTGCTTAAAATCTGCATTCAGTAGTTGATGATTCGAGAGATAGTTAAAATTTGATTTTGAATCAAACTTTAAGGAATAATCCTTAAAAATGTTATTCCATATATCTGACTTAAATGTCGATATTTTTTGCAGTAACTTCAAAAGATAACTGAATGCCGTTAAAAGTTTCACAATGAAATCGCTTTCACCTTTATAAAAAAATATGATTAAACAATGGGTTTGCAAAAAACTTTTCCTAATTAAAATACAAAATGAGTTCCTAATTAAAATACATGACTATATTTCTGCTAAATAACTACATAAATATTTAAATATTACGCTTGTTCTTATATGAAATTTACTACTTTATACATGATCAGAGGAAATTGAACTCAAATACAGAATTTATAATAATACATTGTGTGCATATTATTTTAAACAAATTCCTTAAATATAATTTTAAAAGACGAACTACCTTTAAAATTTCAGACATATAAGGTAACGATATATAATACAATCAAGCAGAAAGAGATTTATGTTTATTGTTTCGCTAAATATATTTATATGAATATTTACCTTCCTTATTCAGCTTTAGACATATTCCTTTAGTATAGACCTGAATGGCTAAAGCTGCAACGCAGCATTCTCCCTCTCCACAATCATTTTCTGTTTCGCATAAACGCGCGGACGCAACAGCCTGAAAGAGAATGTTATGTTAAAGTATTAGTGTTACTCTGATTAACTTTCAAAAAATGTCAAAGGATTATTTCTCTTAAACTGAATGAGCGTGATAAAATAAATAAAAAATCAGCAAGACACGGCATTTTATGAATGCGCGGGAGAATAAGTATCAAACATGTCGCTGCATTTTAATTAAATTTTAGATTTCGAATTGAAAAACTGCATTTCTATGTGAAGTACTTAAGTGCGTTCAGATTCCATAAATCTAAAGCAACACAATTTCATCCCGACTTTCTGTTACATTCAGTTATATGTCTGAATGGTATAGCTGTTGAGATTTTCATGGTATTTTCGATGTGTAACGTGAGAAAAATAATTTTTGCAATGTGTAACGTGGGGAAATGTTGAAATTCATTTCCTTGATGTTGGATTATTTTGATGTTTGAAATATTCTTAGTTATTCTGAGTTATAACATGTAAAACTGTTAGGTTTTTGCAAATTATTGACTGATTTTCTAATATACAGCAGTTGTTTACCGTAGATTGTCCTCGAGTGCTTGCCTTAAGAAATAAACCCAAGGTACATTTAAAGATGAGGTTTGGTTTATTTGGTTTTCGCAAAAGACCCTAGGGTAAGAGGAGCGTAAGAGGAGGGATTAATTCACGATGGGAATTTTATGGGAAACTGGCTCGTTTCCACATTGCTCGTGGAGAAGACCACAGAAACGCCATGCAGCCAGCCCGTTCGCCTGGAATCGAATCCAGGTCAAATTATTAATGTTTACCGAATTACCCATCGACCGTTGGCACAAATTTAGAATGTCAAAAACAGCGTCATATTTCATAAGAAATATATTTCATTCAATCTTGTTTTACTTCACAATTAATGTGAATATGGATGCTTCAAAGAGCAAACAATAAATATATGCAATATAATAATAAACAAAACCTATACGGAATATATTAATAAAAAATATGTGAAATATAATAGATTGTTTAAGTAAAGGAACTTGTGAAAATAAGCTAAATTTTGAGTTCTATCTAAAGAAACTACATAGATACATGCGAAAAAAGAAATATGGCTATTGTAGATAATTCCTAATCTGATGTTTAACATTTTCGACATAAAGAAAAGCTGAGTAAAGTAATTTTAAAACTTATTTTGCTAAACATTCCAATAATGTACTTGAAGTAGAGAGGAAGTTGTAATTTTAAAACTAAAGCTCATTCTAAACAATTTTCAAATATATTTTAATGCATTTTAGTATAAATTTATTCGAAACCGAATCCTAAAAGGTTCTCGAATCTTTCGAATCTAAAATCACTTTGATTTTTCATGTAAGAGCAATAGAAGAGGGAGGAGAAGATGAAAGAAAATAAAAACAAACATTATTATAAGGAAATATAAATATTATTATAAGGAAATATGTTATAATTAAACATTTGCTTAGTTTTTTTTTTAGTTTAATCTATGTTCAGACACAAATTCACGAATATTGCTTTAAAAATATGCTTGTATTTATCAAGCAAGCCCTAATGAAGTTTTATTAAATAATGTGTAATTAAAACCCTCAAAATTTGTCATTTATTTTCTGAATTTTATAAGGCAAAGAATAATGGCAATAGTACACATTTCTTCAAATTCTTTTCAAGTTAAAAGTAGTCGGTAAAAGAGGAGGAATAATTATTTCAAAAGCATAGATAAACGCTAAATTTGGAATTATAAACTTTCTCCAAAACATTTAGTGTGGTATTCAAGGCACCACATACGATACTGGTGATGTAGATCTATTAAAAGTGCAAAAATCGTCTTTCCTTGAACGTTTTTTACTAAATGTGAACAAAATTAATTTTTTACAGTTTTAAGTTAACATATCAAGGTTTCTATTTCGAAGCCTTAGCGAGATTTATGACTGTGTGATTCGAATATCTTATTCCTAAATAAAACTACAGGAATCAAATAGTGTCGTTTGATAAAATTGTTTATTAAAAACAGGTCACAGTTTTTAACCCTTTCATTTGTTTAAATTTTCTACTTACAGAAATACTTTAAAGTTATACATTGATGAGAAAATATGACGGACGGCTTTTGACAGCTTTTGTTATAGAATTCGCCAGAAAATGTTCTATTTTGAAATGTTAATTCTATAATTCTCTATAGAGGATTTATGCTGAAGAGATGCCTAATATATTCAAATTTGATCAGGGAGGTTTCTCGTTTAGGCCATCTGTGTGCCTGGGAGTTTAGCATAATATGAAATAAGTAGCGTGAAATCTTCTTAAGAACATAGTTCCGAATTTCAGTCTTTTATTCAAATGATAACCTTTGAGAGGCAATTTTAATACTGTTTTGGCCTCCTCGGTGATTGCGGTGATTTGTGCCCAGAGGGCGCACCGCACAAAAAGTTAGTTGCGTTACAGAACGTAAGGGAAGCGGACACGCCAAAATGTCGGGCGTATTACCGCTAATTGAGGTAATTGCATCGTATCTGTCAGGTGGCAGAAAACTAATATGATGTATCAATTCACATGCCAGGTGGCAGAATATGTCTATCATGTACATGCCAGGAGGCATAACGCTTGTAAACATGCCAGGTGGCATACGACTTGTAAATAAATTGTAAATAAATGTACAGTAAAATATCTTGGTGCAATAGATCAAGGAACAAGCATCAACAACCTTCTGATCATTTGGATACGTACATTTTTTCTGGTGACACCGGACTTGATTTGTGGAGATGAAGAATGGACGAAGAAAATTAGTGAGTTCATGACTGAAAAGCCAGGATTTAACGCGAAGAAATTCGAGGTAGGCCCTTTTTCATTTTTCCAGTTTTGAATAGAATTGTTGAATAAAAATCTTGGTGATTATTATAGTTGATAGAATCTAATGGTAAAATGGAGGCTATGAATAAGGCAAAGAAGTTGCGTACGGTGACGCGTAGCTTAACTACTAAGTTGATGAGTAAAATAGATTCTGCATTGTTAGAAGAGGGTGAAAACCGCGGATGAGAAATTAAAAGAATTACTCGAAATGTTACTTGAAAAATCGCAGTTGTTGAAACAATACGATTCTGAGATTGAAAAACTTATAATTACGGAACAGGAGTTGGAAACAGAAGTAATTTCCGCGCAGGAATATCAGGAAAGAATTATAAGTTTTAAATGTAAAATTCAGGAAAAATTAAGAAAAAACGCGTGTAAAGTTGAATCTAGAAATTCTAGTGAGGAAACTATATCTCCGAAGTTGAAAACTTGTGAAGTTAATACTTTAAAATTGCCAAAATTAACGATTACAAAATATTACGGTGATCCTTGTTCTTGGCTTGAATTCTGGAATCAGTTTAGTAATTCCATTCACCAAAACGAAAGTCTCAGTTCGGTTGACAAGTTTTGTTATTTAAAATCGCTTTTGGGAGGTTTAGCTTTAAATGCTATTAGTGGATTAACATTTACTAGTGAAAACTATACGGTGGCTGTTGATATACTAAAAAACCGTTTCGGCAGAGATGACCTGCTAATTAATGCGCATATGAATAAATTGTTGAGTTTAGAACCTGTAAAATATTCCGGAAATACGGCTTCTTTGAGGAAGCTTTATGACGATATAGAAATACAAATAAGGAATTTAAATTCTTTAAATGTTACTAGTGGTTCTTATGGACATTTATTATCCCCTATTTTGTTAAAGTTAATACCCGAGAATTTAACTCTAGAATTCACTAGGAAAAGAAGTGATAAACAAAATTTCGATGTTAATGAACTACTAACGTTCTTGAAAACTGGAAGTGGAATGTAGGGAAACATCAATGATGTTAGCGCGTTCTAAGAATTTTGATGTAAATGAAACATCAATACGAAACAAAAGTTCCCATCAAGGTTATCAAAATAAATCTTACATGCATTCTAAAAGAAATGATTACAGTACGAATAAGCAAGGTGCTTCGGTATTAACTAGTCAAAGCGAAACTCCCTCTAAATACTTTCAAAAATCACATTTTAATCCAAATCGAAAGTTCTCTACCCCGCCTAAGAAAGAGAATCAAAATGTCTGCATATTTTGTTTATCTGCTTGTCATATGAATCATGATTGCGCACTTGATTTAAAGGCTCGCCGAAAGGCATTAATGGATCGAGGTTTATGTTTTATTTGCTTTTCGAAAGGGCATCCAAGGCGTTTCTGTGCTCATAAAGATGAAAAATGCAGACTGTGCAATGTCCAAGGTTTACATAATTCGTTAATATGTGACGCCGCATCGAAAGATTTAGAGACGGATACTTCCAATCAGACAAAACAAACGCCAATCCCTGAAGCTTCTCTTTCGCTCTTATGTAATGAAAATAATAACAAAATTAAACCACCGACTTCCGTTCTTTTACAGACGTTTTCGGCAACAGTTAGGTGTAAAGGGGGGAACGAAAAGGTATTACGTTGTATGCTAGATTCAGGGTCAACAAAGTCATTCATCTTACGAGAAGTGGTTGATTCACTGGGGTTGAAAATTATTAATAAAGAAGCGCTTATTATTTTCACATTTGGATGCAAAGATGCAAAAGAGCGCTTGTATGATATCGTAGAAATCGTATTGCAAAATGTAAGCCATCCCAGTAAAAAGATAAAAATTAACGCAATAGTCATTGATTCTATAACACTAGGGCAAGTAAAAGTTCCTTCTCGGTGGATACGAAAGATGGCGTTTGAGAAGGGAATAGAATTAGCAGATGCTGGTACGAGTGACGAAATTCAAGTATTAATAGGTTCGGATTATATTTGGGAAATTTTAGGAGAACGAAACGTGAAGATTTGTAAAAAATTAGTCGCAACAGAAAGCACTTTCGGTTTTGTGATTCAAGGCAAGGACGAAGGATCAAAGTGTAAGGACGCAAGAGTTAATCATATAACCGTTGTAAATGAGGACTTAGATTATGAAAGAGTTAAAAAATTATGGGAATTAGAAGCAATTGGGATAAGTTCGGATAAAGAAATATCTCTATCAGATAAAGAAATTTTAGAGT